TGAGCACGTGTTAGGGTCCAGCTCAAACGCTGTCCCTCCCCAGGCATTCACCACGGCACCGGATCTTTAAGACGGCTTTGAAGCTTGGTATCACCATCCCCGTTTCCAAGAAAACTGAGACTCGGAGAGGTGGAATAACTTGACTTTAAAATCTCAGAATTGGTCACTGTTATTGCCCGGGAGGCAGAGCTTGGATTTGAACCTGGGTCTGTGGAATCCCAGAGCTGCAGCTGACCCAGCTGCGTTAGCCTGGCAGCTTCTGAGAGCCTGACACCATTCCACATCCAAACTGGTCCTACAGGCGTTATATAGATGATGTGAAATTTTCAAACCAGTCAGTGGAACAAACAGAAAGGAAACTTTGCCTCCCCAGAGAGATGCCAACAGCCCGATGGGACGGGCAAGCCCCGGCCTGGGAGCGGGAGGCGTGGTCTCCAGTGGTGGCATTGCCTTGGGAAGCCCCGGGCAGTCTCGGAAGAAAGGAAAGCAAAGTGAAGCCCTCAGAAGCGTTCAAATAGCTTTGGCTTCTCAACCCAAGGCGTATAATCGGTGTTTGAAATTCCTGTAAGGAACAAACCCTCCCCTGCGAGAGGCTACTCAACTCAATTCAATGGCATTTGCTGGATTAATGATAACAATAAAAATTTTCACAGGAGAGACAGTGTTTACTATTTACTCCCATTTTACAGATGAAGACACCGGGGTTGGGAGAAGGTTCATGGCCTGCCCAGGGTCCCAGAGCTGCTAGCTGGGAGCCGAGGAGTCAAATCTAAGACCCTCTGACTCTACATCCAGATGTGCCGGTGCTGTCGCCCAGCGGGCCGGCAGGCTCTCCAGACGGACTCAGAATGTGCACATCACGGTATTGCACGCAGCGGCACGGCAGCCGCCCTCGGAGCCCAGAGAAGGAAGTGGTGATTCTGAGTGAGATTCTGGGGGCTCACAAGGAAGGGAACACCCTGGCTGAGACGGGAAGGGACAAGATGAGAAGGGGGAAAGGGCAGACTGGCAGATGGACTGGGCAAAAGGTGGGCAGGTGGAAAGGGCAAGGCCAAGTTCAGGCTGCAGGGTGGGCTTGGGAACCATTAGCAAGGGGAGACGGAAGGGAGCCGTGTGGAGAGCAGGCTGCACCGGGTTCCAAAGGGTTGTGTCGGTTTTACTCGGTGGGCAACAGAGAGCCAGTGTGGGCTTGCAAGCAAGGGAGTGGCATGGCCTAGTCAGTGACAGGACCCACAAGCTGTCATGGCAGCGTCTGCTCAGCTGTCTGGATCAAGGAGTGCCCTTGCAGTGTGGCAGCGTGGGTCACATGCTAGGAAATGCCTTGTAACACGCCACTGAACTCTAAGCCATTCTTTTCACTGTAAACCTGCACGTCAAAAAAAAGGCCAAGGATTCATGTAGAAGGACCTTCTTTCCAGAACTGATTAAACTTGCAGACATCTAATGAGCTCTGGGGAGCAGCCCCCATTCCACCCAAGGGTGTCAGCCCAATGTCTGTCCTCACTGTCTCTCTCCCAACAAAATTCCCAGCCGTGCACACCTTGCCAACGCCGTTTGTCAGGTAAGGGGTCTCCTGGCTGCTGCTACCCTGTCCTCCATCCTGGCTCATCTGCGACCCTGTGATTGCCCTGCATGGTGTCAAGGTCATCATGGATCTCAACCTTTGGATGCCAAAGAAGACTCCCGGGGGTTAGGTAAAATGTCACCAAATACCTGTCATAAAGGCAAGAGTTTATGTATGAGGCTACCTGGTGTGTGCCAGGCACTAGGCAGATGCTGTGAAGTCCCCATCAACTGCCCAGCCAGGGGTGGCTGTGCCACCTCAGAGAAGGGGAAACTGAGGCTCAGAGAGGCCATCTCTCCCTCCCACAGCAGACAGCGAGGAAGGCGCCGAGCCGGAGCAAGCCCAGGCCTGCCTGGCTCCAGCGCCCCTGCCATGCTGCAAGGTGGTCAGCAAAATGAGGAAGTGAGTCAGGAAGGCAACAAGGGAGGGTTTCTCTTTGAGTCAGAACAGGATTTCCCAGAACACGGCTGACCCACTGCAGGGACAGACAGGGTGGGGGCTGGTGAGGTGCCCACCCAGACCAGCCCCTCTGCGGTGAGTGTGCTGAGATGGGGACAGGCCCGAGGGGCATGAAGGCTCGGGGTCACTGCTGATGGGCCCGGTGAGGCCTCCCTGGCAGGTCTCGAGAGAATATAGCTTGAAATGAACCAGGCAGAGCAGCCCGACGGGCACCGGCCCCAGCTGTGGGGGCCCCAGACCCGGGTTCCCGGAACCGATGGCTGCCCCAAACCCAGCTCTCCCCCATGCTGCCCTCTGCCTTCTCCTTGCACCCAGCAGGCCCGGCTGGTGAAGATGAAGTTGTCCCCTCGAAGGACCCAAGGGAACAGGCAGAGAGCTGAGCTGGGCCCATCTCATCTTCCAACAGAGAGCCACACCCAGCCCCACTTCTCTCCCTCCCAAAGCTTGGGAGACGCTCAATTCATTTTATGACAAATCTCATCTCACCTCCTACTCCATGCCAGACACCGTGGCCGGTGCTAAAGGTCACAGAGACGAACCATACTGACAAGATCCTGCCGCCCTGACAAAGCTCATGCTCGTGGGTGACCTGACAGCTCAGTGACCCTTTCCTCTCTGGACAGGGGCACACTCAACACCCGTGGACTTCCTCTCCTGCCCCACCCTCAGTCTACACCATGAGACCTTCTGGAATCCACCGGTTCACAAACACCCAAAATGTCTCTATGGACCAGGGATTTTGACCTGACGACATGTTGGGGTCCCTGGGTGGGCCTCAAAGGCTCCATGAACCCCTGAAATCATAAGCAGCACTTTGTGCCTATGCTTGTTCTCCTGGTGGGAGCACCTGCAATTCCCATGTGCTTCCCGAAGGCCCTGACTCAGGGAAGACTGAGAACAAGCTTGCCACAACCAATCTACCACTGAACGCAGCTTCTCCAGCTACTAGCTGTGTGACACAGGCAAGCTTATTGACCTCTCTGTTCCTCAGTTTCCTCCTTTGCAAAATGAGGATGACAATGGTACCCATGAGCACGCACAGAGCCTGGGGCCGGGGCATGTAGGCCGGCAATACAAAGAAGTCACCTTTCAGTCCCACCCAGGCTGGATCCGGCCGACCCTGGGTCCACGGCAGCACCAGGAACAAGGCGGACCAGAAAGCCCAGCACGATTTACTTGCCGGCTGAGAAAAAAATACCCTCCACAGTTTCCAGGTTTGGTTTACAAAACAACAAAGAACCACTTGAACCTTGCTTTTAATTTAATAAATGGCACCCCAGCCCGAGGAGTGGCAGGGCTGGATCCAAACTCGAGCTCTCAGAGGATGCCTCCATTCATTTCCTAGGAAACCCACCAGTTCTGTGGGAGGCAGGGAGACCAGAGTCCTCTCTTGGCAGAAAGGAGCATCTAAAGGCTCAGGGGGGAAGACCTTTCTGACTTAACCCCTCCAGCGCCTCATAGCCCCGGCCTGAGACAGTCCAGGATGCTTACTGGACAGAAGAAATCCTTCTCCAGCCATTTCTGCAGCCTCAACCTCCCCCTTCCTGCTTGCCCTACTCTGCCCTACATGTGACTCCTTATACACATCATCAGGTTTCTCCCCTCAGTCTTTGCTGGTCCCTCTACACTTATCTGTCTGGCTACATTCACCCATCGACTCTAGCAACACTGCCTCCAGGAAGCCTTCCAGAATTCTTCAGGGAGTAGAAGACTGAGAACCAACATTGCTAAGTACCTGCCGGGTGTCAGGGATTGTGTTAGGTGTTTGTTCACATACACTCATTGAGCCCTCCCATCCATTGTTAAATAGAAATGCTTAGCTGCTTCTTATAAAGAAGTTGAAGTTAGGCTCAGAGTGGCTAAGTAACCTGCCTAAGGTCACACAGCAAATGAGCCTGCTGCCTTCTTCTCCCTAGCAGTCTCTTAGCAAAGCCCAAGAGGTGTTAAAGCATCCCCATTCTGCTGGGGCTGTAAGGTGATGTCCCCAAGAGCCTGTCTTCTGTATCACCAACTCCTGCCTTACATCTGAGACCTTCAGAGCACCTCTGACAACTCCTCCCTGGAGTCCAAGGCCGATTGTTAATGGGCTGCACAGGTTATAATTAGCACACGCCTGCTCCTGCCAGGGCTTCAAGACGCCAGTTTACGAGGTGTCTGTGTGCAGCCAAGGGCACCCAGTGTAGGGACTGGCTTTTGCTCTGCTGCTCTCGTGGGTCCCAGTGTGAAGGGGCTACCTGTAGGGCTGAGTGACTACCTTGCAGGTGCAGGGGTGCCCTCCTGAGCCTCCCAGACCTCAGCAACAGTGGCCGGCCACGCCCCGGCAGCAGGGAGAAGCTGCCCCCTCCCCCCCCCCGTCAGACCAGGGGGATGATACCCCACTGCTGTGTGCTGAGCTTGAGCCAGCGCCTCTCGGCCTCATCACCCGCCTTGGTCCTCGCCCTGACGCCCCGCTGCCCCGCTGCCCGGACATTTTAATGCCTTTCCCACTGGAGGAACTGGGTTCTCCCCACATCCCCTCAGCAGAGCCCACTGTCCCTGCCTGCTGCCAGGGCTCCAAGGCCACCCACCCAGCCGGAGGAGGGAGGGTCAGTGCATGAGCCCGTTCTTTGTACTCCCAGTGGGGGGTGGGGGTGGGGCGGGGGCAGGGTGGGTGCTGACACACACTGGCTTGTCACACCAGGCACAAAACCCCATCTGACTTTCCACAACATTTTCTCCCTCCTCTCAGACAATGCTGGCTTTAATGGATTTCCTTAAAGGGACGGGTGGCCCGCATGCTTTGCATGAAAGGCAAATGCCACTGTCCCCAAGTGGACTACACTAAACAGTAGGACCGTCCCCACCCGGGAGACGATGCACTCTTTCTGCCCGCACAGAACGGGCACCACGCGAGCAGAGCCTGAGAGGTTTCCCCTCCGAGGAGCTGGTGCCTCCGCCCCCGGCCTGCGAGCATTTGGCAGGGCCTCCGGTGACTCACCTTCTCCCCGTGGTTTCTTCCGAGCACACGCATCCTTCTGGTACACTGCTGTTTACTTATTTTTTTGCTTGTTGAATCTAGATGACTCTAGATCCTTCTAGAATGTAAGTTCCACCAGAGCAAAGGCTTTGCCGGTCTTTACTCCCAACCCACTGCCCAGGACGGTGCCTGGCACACAGGAGGCCCTCCGAGGAGTCAGTGAGTGAGCGAATGAATGACTCTCGGCCCCATGTGTTCAGCTCCATGCGCTCTTTGAAGACACGTTACAGCAGAGGAGACAGTCAGCTTGAGAGCTCACGGTGCACAGGGAGAAAGATGCAAAAACAGCCCAGCCCAGTGGGGGGTTGAGTGTCTGTTCACAGGGGACACAGCAGCGGGGGCAGTGGGAGAAACTGCTGGCAGGTAGGACAAGGGAGCAGCCACAGGGCAGGGGCCTCTGGAGCTGCAAGGACAGTGGGGGAGGCGCCCAGGGCAGGGACGGGCACGTGGGAGAGGGAACGAGGCGTGCAGAGCGGAAAAGCGTGAGTCAGCATCTGAGTAATTTGTCACCAGCGAGGGAGCCATGAAGGGGGAGACCCTCCAGCCTCCCCCGCTCATCCAGCGGCATTTACTGAACACTCCCTGGCCTGGGGCGGGCAGGGGTTGGCCCTGATGCAAGGGAAGTTTCTGCCTTTGCAGACTTGTGGGGGACAGGCAGGGGCACAGGGGACTCTGGGAGCACTGGGAGGAGCAGTTGAGTCTGGGGGAGCACTGAGGCTCAGGTGGAAGAGACAAGCCCCCTCGCACCATCCACCCAACTCCATGGTCAAAGTGACATGGCTCTGACCTAGCAGGACCAATGTGTCCTGGCTTGCCAGACACTTTCCAGGTTTTAGCCCTGAAAGTCCTGAGCCGCCGGAAACCTCTCAGTCTTGGGCAAGGCATGGACAGCTGGTCATACTTACTTCTCCCTTCGTGTCCACTCTCAAGACCACGCCCCACCTCTCAGCCACCCACCGGGGCTGGACCTGGGGACAGACAGGCCAGCAGTCTGAGGCCTGTGTGTCCTCCACCTCCTCCTCTTACTGTGTGCTGCAGAGCCCCAGGGGTGCAGAAACCCAGGCTCGGCCCATCCTCCCCGGCTGGCTCCCGGCCACAGCTGCCAGGGACTCTCTGATCCAGTCACTCCATCCCTCGCCTAGGCTTTATCTCCTGAGGCCTCCGAGATCCAAGGACAGGCTTCCTACCCGGCCTTCCTCTGTGTCTTGAGCGAGGCCAGTTGCAGGAACCAACACACACACACACACACACACACACACACACACACACACACACTCGTCTACTGAACTGAAGCAACAAGCAACTATTACATCACCAACTCCATTTTACAAAAGGAAAAACTAACACATAAAACCGGCCAGGAACTCACCTCCAGTATTTGTTTTGCAAGACTCTGAGGATTCCATTATTCAAAAGCAACTCTTCAGAAGAATCTCAACTTCCAGATCCTTCTAGAGCCTTTTCCACTGGCCCTACAGAGACTCAGAAACCACAGTAGTTCAGTAGTTCTCTCTCAAGGGGACGCAGAAATATGCAGTCTTCCCCAGATGCTTGTTCTAGACGGGGGCTTCTAAACTAGAGCGCCACGAAGAGCAACAAGATTCCTCCAAAGACATTCTCAGAAAACGCTCGGACTGGAGCCACCCCAAGCTGCTGGAGGTCTGTGAGGTCCCCCCAAAAATGCTGCTCTCCCCAAGAATTTGAGGAGCAGCACAGAGAAGTTACAAGAGCCCTGGCTCCCATGGGAAAGGTGCTAATGATTAAATGATTAAAGGAATCCCATTAGCAAGCGCCTAGAAACAGTAGCTTAATCTCCCCTGCGGTCCCCTGCAAGGGCACTGCATGGAAAGAGCTGGGTCCTAGGAACCAGTTTTCTAGCTCTACCATTTACCATTAGCTTGCGACCTTGGACAAGCCCCCTAACTTCTCTGGGCCTCCCCTATGACGCGCCTCCTCTGCGGCGCAGGGCTGTTGGCTGATGGAATATAGCATCACTACCCACCTAGACACATCCTTCCCGAACCCTTTACAGAGGTGAGAGAACACAGCGAACCTCCACGAAGGGCGTGCCATGTGCCAGGCACCTCGCTAAGTCTTATGGGGACTATTTCACTGATGCAGTAGGTCCTACTATTCCTGCCGCTTTACAGATGAAAGAACTGAGGATCCGAGAGGCCAAGCCATCGGCCTGAGGTCACACAGCCAATATAGGAACATTTCCTCTGCTCTCAACCACTAGATTATTAATATTTGCCAAATGAGCATCCGAATGAATTGACACTAGGTTCTATTTTAACTAGCAGACACGAGACTGAGAGCCGTTTCAGAACTACATTTTTAAGAACTGAAATTATTAGAAGAGTGACTCGCTCAGAGCTGTGAGGTCCACTCTCCGCTGCGGAGGGGGATTCTAAACAGGGACTGCAGACCACGGCCCACCGCCTGGTTCTGTATAGCTCTCGAACCAAGAGTGGTTTTCACATTTTTAAATAATGGGTGAAAAAAATCAAAAGAATAATAATGTCTCATGACACATGGAAATTACATGGAATTCAAATCCCAGTGTCCATAAAGTAAGTTTTACTGGAACACAACCAACGTCCATTCATGTCCACAGTGTCTGTGGCTGCTTTCAGCTATAGGACAGAAAGCTAAATATATTTACATATTTACTCTCTGGCCCTTTACAGAAAAAGCTTGCCTATTTCTGTTCTAGAAGCTCCAAAGGCCAGGGCCATTTATCAGCCCAAGGGCAGGCCCGCCCCCGCCCCTGCCTATCAGCACAGCATTCCACCGGGTCTGGGAGCCTAGAAGATTCTCTCCTGTTCCGTTCAGCAAACAGGGACACAATTTGCTGATAACCTAGCTTTGCTGATAGGCAAAGCTTTCCGAATGCTGACAGTTGCATCTCCACCAGGGTTTTCCCTCTGCAATTTCCCTTGCAATGTGTGGGGGCCTTTGCCAGTAAGCTGCGGTCGCCCCACGCTGTCAGGGTGGTTCTGCTGAAACCCCTCCCCAGCCCTCCAAGCCAGTACCTGAACCATTGCCGGGTCCTGAGGATGGGGTCCTCCCTGCCAGGGCCGGGGATGCGAATCACGCTGTCAGTTAAAAGACAACAGGAGCCGCACACCATCGCTCTCCAGAGAAAGGCTCACGGGCCCACTCTCCGTGATAATGGGCAGGGGCCACTGGACACAGGTGGGGAGAGCTGGCCATGGGCCCCGGCGGGGTCTGTTCACATCACATTCTGTTCCTGTCTCCCCTAGAGAGAATCTAAGCCTTGGGGTGGGGGGGCCCTTCTTGATTAGCAAAGTCTAGGCCTGGGAGCCAGCAGTCTGGGGTCCTGTCCTGGGACTTCGGGCTCCCCACTGCCCTCTATGGTCTGGTGTGCCTGGGCACTCACGGGGGAGCCAGGCCCCTGGGGACACTGAGGTCCTGCAACGTTGCATTCACCGAGTGTATGCGGCAATGTTGCCTCTAGGAAAATGGCCCTGAGAGCTGGACAGGTGGCTTCTCAGGCTGTCCCTGTGGCCGAGGGAAGGTGGAGTGAGAAGGCAAGTGCATTGTAAGGGAAAGAATCCAGCTGTCCTGTCCCTGGGGCCTCACTGAGGACGGCCAGGCAGGGACACACTTTTGCTATGCACACAGTGGGGTCAGTCTGCTAACGGGCTCTACCAGTCCGGGTGGCCGTGCCGACAGCCCTGCGTTAGCGGGTGAGCTCGTCAGGCAGCCCTCGGGCCTGTCAGAACGCTGGGCCTTTAGTGTCATCCAATTCTGTGTGTTCACACACTTTGGCTATTTTGTGCATCTCAGTCATGATTTGGGCCACATCTGCAGACACATCTGCACTATTTTTTTTTCTGATTAATTTTCTTTAATTTGACCCATTTAAACTTAAATTTATTTTAAAAGAAGACTTTTTATCTTTACCTTAATTAGAAAATCAAGGCCAGGATCAGCTGCCATATATAGAACACGGTAAGAAATAGAATGAACATAAACAGCATGTAACTCTGTCTGGACACTGTTGCCCGTTTGCACCTGGCACCTGCGCATCATTAGAGAGAGGATGGGCAAGGGTTTGAGAGCTGTTACAAACAGATTAGCATCCACTGGAATGTTGTCCTAGACAAAATCCAGGGGTCCTTCACCCATCCCTGGGCATCAGAATCACCTGGAGAACTTTTAAAATAGACAAGCTGCCCCACTTCCAGAGGTTTCTAACTCATTTGGTCCAGGGTGGAGCCCAGGTGATGAAGAGAACATCATATGATCAGAAGTATTAGAAGAAAAAAAAAGATGGAGAGGGACTGACTGTCATTCTGTGCTCGAGGATGTGCCACCAAGTTTATCCTGCAAGTTGCTAGTAGCCCCTGGTCTGAGCTCTCAGGACCTAGTTTAAACCCCAGCACTGCAGGGAGGAGGACCCTGGTGCTCAGGGCTGGGAATAAGACAGGAGGACCTAGTGTGGTGACACTGAATTTTTTCCTAAAGTTAATTCTATGAAAGGGAAAAGTCACATTGGCCATTTGGGGATGGCTGGTGTCCCGGGCAGGCAATGAGTGGTCAAGGTGTGTGGTCGGGCACCTGTATACCCTCTTGGCTCGGCCAGCCCCAGCCATCACGCCCCGCTGGACCGCCCAGGGCGCGGGATCCGCCAGCAACACCTGAGCCAAGCACTGACTCACCCGCAGCCATGCCCCACTCAGCTGGCCGCAAGCGCTGGGGGCAGAGGCAGACAGAAGTGCGAGCTCCCTTCCAAGTGACCTACATAATGGCCAAGCTACCTCCCCAGCCAGGGAGCACCCAAGGAAAGGGGGGAGTGCTCAGAGAAGCTGGAAAGCGAATCTGGGGGAGGGAGCATGACCAAGCTCCTACCACGTGCTGGGAATTCCACATCCGAGATCTCACCTGAGACTCCGAGGGGAAGGCATGGCCCCATTTCACATGGAATGGCCCATGGAAGTCATGTGACTTGGCAAGATCACACTGCAGGTGACAGGACCTGGATCCCAGCCCAGATCTGTGTAATTCCATCGCAGGCCCAGAAGCAGAGAGAAACTCCATGGACAGAGAAAGTCTAACTTGTCTTTCGCTTGGGAAGACAGCTGGACTCAGTGACACTTTGCTCTGTTGGGTAAACTAACAGTACCGATGGCCCCGTACCTCCAAGGGGTGGTTTGTGGTTCACGACAGAGCTCATATGCACCCAGCAAGGTGAGGGGTGTAGGACCTTCCCCCACTTTACAGAGAAGGGAGGTGAGGCCCAGAAAGACTGTGTTCCTGGGCAGAATTAAAGAGTCCTTCCTGGCATCCCCCATCCCAGACCCGAGTCACTGTCCCCTAGGACAGGACTGTGTTTAAAGCACCCATCTCATGCACCACACTCCTCCTACAGGGGACGGACTTGTCTCTGGCATTTTCTCACCCGGTGTCCGTTTCAATCCGTGTCAGTAAGTTGCAGGAATGCCGTTGCCCAAGCCACGTAGGTTACAGGGCAGAAGTGCCAGCTCCCAGACACAAACACGTGCCTTTGGCTCCCAAACCAAAGTCAGCTCCAGCTAAGAGCTGCATGACTAACCCATGGCTGTCTAGAAGGGACCAAAATGGGAACCTATGGGGCCATCCTCTCACCTCCTCAAAGGAGCACGTTAACAAGCAAGGACCGAGCCACGGAGTGCCTGGCCTGGACCCCGGACCCCGGACCCCGGGCATTCGGGTAGTTTTACCCAGAGGAAAGTGGGATAAGAGATTCTACAAGATGGAATTTTAAAAAAAAAATCATTTCTTAAAATTATTTCCGAGCAAAGTTGAGTTTGAAATCGGCAAACAGATAAAATGGACAAATTATATCAGGCAGCTCCCTGGCTGCCTGGTGCAGGGTACACGGCAGCCCGGCAACCCCGCTGGCTCACACCCAACCTGCAGCCTCTGGCTTTGGTCACTAAGTCCCCAGCAGCTAGAGCACAAGTCACAGATGGGGATCCCTGGGAGAACAGGGTGTGGTCAGCAGAGACAGGGTGGGGTGCTCCAGGGTAGGTCCTGGCTCTGGAAATCCTCTGGCATTCCTGGACCCACGTGACACTGGTCACCCTGAAAGGGTTTCCTTTGAGGAACCACCTGGCAAGGAGAGAGTTGGTGGGAAGGAACTGCGGAGAAGGAAGGAGAGGCCTGGTTAGGAGGCCGAGTGCCGGGCCTGACTCAGCAGCGCCAGCCCACCGCGCGCACTCCCAGCAGGGAAGGGCCTGCTGTCGCCTGGTGGTGACCTGCCCGAGTGCCGGGACCAAGTGTCTTGAGTTCAATTCCCAACCCCACTGCTCACTGAGGTGGCCAAGGACAGGTCACTCAACCTCGCTGTCAACTGGAGACAATGTCTGAGCACCTCCCACCGAGCGCTTGCGAGGATGACGGGAAAGGGCAGGGAGCACCGGGGCATCCAGGAGCGCCGGGTAGACACAAGCCGTGACGATAAACCGGGTGAGGGATCTCGGACGGCACCTGTCCACCCCTTCAGGGCACATACTCCCTCATTCTACGAACGCACAGCATTGAGCTGGGCTCTGCAGGGACAAAGCCCCTGCCCCTAGGGGGTTTATGTTCCAGTTAAAGAGATGGATGATAAACTCAACTGCAAGTACATAGCCCAGATAAGTTCAGGTAGCAACAAAACAGGTGACAGGACAGAGTGCAGTGGCGGGGGGCACATGTTACTGTGTGGGCCGGCAGGTCCTCCGAGGCTGTGACTCTGAGGCGGGGCCCAATGCACAGAGACAGTGGCCCAGGGGAGGCTCTTTTCTGGCAGAGGGCAGAGCAAGAAGGCACGCCCCAGGGGGAGGGAGCTTGGCATACTCAGGAGAGAGGACTCAGGGGTGAGTCCCGGGGAGGTCAGGAGACATTTTGAAGGTTCCAGAGAGCCCGGGAAAGCCACGTGTCCTCCAAGAGAGCAGTCCCCTGAAGGGGGCCACGAAGGGAGACGATGCCCACGGCACATTCCCTCCCCAGCCTCGGGTCACTGCTCTGGAGCACGTTTTTCCTCTGCGTCCGGGGTAGGTTGGGGTCTGCCCTGCACGACCCATGTAAAGGCACTGCGAGCATCAGCTTCCCTAAAATTTGTAAGATCCTATTTTACAGTGTAAAGGCTTTTACTTAAAATAATAACAATACCCCCCCCAGGCTGGGAGTGGGATGTCAGGATGAAAACCTGCACCCCCCTCCTTCTAGGAGATCACAGCCTAGTCAGACTCAAAAACTGTTGGTTCATGTCAATGGCAAAGTGCAATGGGAACAGGAAAACAGAAATCACCAATCCCATCTGAGGCGGCCGAGGAAGGCTTCCAGGAGGAGGTGACATCTGGCCAGGTG